AAGTGGTTTACCATTCCACTCAGACAGCTGCTATCAGAGGCTCTATTTTCCAAGAGAACAAAGGAAGAGTATTAGGAAGTATCTGGAAGACTGTAACAACAACAACAACAACAGTCATGAATAATAATCACTATTATTTGTGCAAAAAGTTAATGTGTTCAACTGCTAACCAAAAGTGTAGAGGAATGAGTCTTTCCAGAGGTGCCATGGAAGAGAAGCCTCACAATCTACTTCCAAAAATTCAACCAGTGAAAACCCTTTGGAACACAGTTCCTCTTTGGAACACGTGGAGTCAATGGAAACCGGTTTTCTTGTTGTTTCTGTGCCAAGTGCTACATGAAGCACCTTTGGAGCACGATCTTACATTTCATCATCATGATAATCTCATGAAGTGGGTCCTATTAGCAAATCTTTGAATGGGAGAGACTGTGACTCTGGTGGCCTCGAGGGTGAAGAACTGCACTGACAACCCCAAAGGCAAGCGATTCGAATCCTCCCATGTGAGTTACAGCCCCCGAAAACTCAACTGGACAGCACACAAGCCTGCAAAGGAGGCAGCAAGGACACCAAGAGGCAGTGGGCGCAAATAGCTGCTACCAGCAGGCTGCCCACACTGGGCACTTCACAAAGCCTGGAATCTGATGGTAGACACTCAAAGTCAAGTTTGGCTTTGGGCTACACTGGGGAAAAGTCGCCTCCCACAATGTTGGACAACCTCAGAAAGCCAATGCCAGCGGCTGACTCAGACTTGACTAGAAAGTGATGGGGTTTGGTCAGTTCTGGAGGTTCTCAGTGAGGACCTCTGGTGGTGGCTGCTAACCGAAGTGTTCAGCTACTAAAGGAAAGGTGGGCGGTTCGAATGTATTCAGTGTCTCTGTAGGTGAAAAGAACAGAAGATCTGTTCCCATAAGGATCACAGCCTTTGGGGCATTTGTACACGGGGTCATCAACAGGACACAACAAGTGCTCAAGTAAATCAGCGACATCCAGATGGACAACGCTACAAGTAAGACCATTGTTCTGTCCTCTTTGACTTACTTGGTCACGTGTTTCCTACTCAATTCTCCCACTTCCATCTACCCACTTCCGGCCCTGTACGCCTCTGAACTCAGTTCCTTCCTGTTTCTTTTTCAGCATGTTGTTATTTTACCTGGGGCCTCTGCTCCTGCTGTGCCCTCCGTTCGAGAGTTTTCTCCCGTCTCACTTAGCGGCCGCCGCTTCAATTGCACAGACTTGGTGTCTGCACTGCCCAGTGTCCAGCCCTCGTCCTTGGACAACAGGGCACGGCTGCCAAGTGGAACCATTGGCACATTCCAACCACAGCCTCAGGGGGAGCTGCGCACCCTCCAGCGGAGTGCTGACCAATCAGAGCCTTGAAGCATCCCCTGGCTATTGTGATTGGTGGCTCGGGAATGATCACATGACTCCATTTGGACCAGTGAGAGACTCTCCTGTGACTTTTTTTTTTTTTCTCCTGTGACTTTGGGAAGAGCTCCCAGGTCCTACACAGTCTCTATGAGTCTTTGGTGGGTTTTCAGAGACAGTTAATTACAGGGGAGGACCCTGCCCATCCTTCTCCTATGAAGCAGCTGGTGGCCTCGAACCACCTGCCTTCCAGCATGCAGTACAACTTCTTGCCTCTAGGCCACCACTGCTCCCTTTTGAGCCCCTAAACCCAGCCATACCTGAAGCTAGAGCTGAAAGTAGACTTTCAGTTATGTGAGTCAATCAAAGCCTATTGTGTGTCAGCTATTTTGAGATTTTGGTAACTTGCCACCAAAGATCATCATACAAGCAGCCTGGATCTTCCCACAAGGAGTTAACCCACCCTCTCCTCCTCTGAGCTTTGCTTGTCTCTCCAAGAGCCCTCCCCTGCCTTTGCAAATTATCAGTTTAAGATCTTTTTCTCCTGCACATCACAGCTTGGTCTTGCGTGCACAGGCTGGGCCTTACTCATCTGTAAACTCGCAGTCGCCAGCACAGAGCTTGCTACAGCCTCAACCAATAGTTGACTCTTGACTCATGTAACAAAGTGAAATTGTGCTCCACAGGGTTTTTACGGCTGACTTTTTTGGAAGCAGGTCGGTCACCAGGTCTTTGTTCTGAGGCACCTTAGGGTGGGCTTGAAACTCCAACCTTTCAGTTAGCAGCTGGGCACACTGACTGTGTGCATTACCCTGGGACTCCATTGCTAAGAGGGCAGAATTCACTGTCTAGTGTTTAGGTAAAGCCATTCCTTCATTCATCCACTATTCACTGAGCAGCTACTATGTGCCCAGTACTGTTGAGGCTGCACGGATGATGCCTTCCTGCTTCTCTCAGGGACTCAGTATTGGAGACCGCCCTGCCTGGCACCTCAGAGCCCTGGTGCGTCTCCACTTGAGCCACATGGCCAACCAAGTCTTGTCATTTGTCCTGTGTTCTGTCCTGGGCAATCTAGTAAGAGCTACCTCAGTCAAGGCCCTTTCTCATTCACCTCCTTGGTGAGGTGAGGGCTAAGACTTCCAACCTCATCCCATCTTGGGTACAGCTTTTACTGAGTTGCGGTTAGAGCTGGTTCCTTCATGACAGAGTAACCTGTCCCTCCTATTGTCTCGTCTGGCCCCCTCTGGTTCACTGTCACCCTGAGGACGAAGGACATAGGAAGCAGATGCCACAGTGATCTTGGTGATGTCATCTGAGAAGTAACGTGGTTATTGGTTGCTGTTGAGTGATTTTCAACTTGCTACAGCCGCGTGTATGACAGGAGAGAACTGTCTCACTGCCCCATAAGTGACAGGAAAGAACAGCTCTGTGTGTGACAGAAGAGAACTGTCCCACTGCCCCGTGTGTGAAAGGAGAGAACAGCCCCACTGGCTTTCCTGGACTGTAGTCTTGGTGGGAACAGACTGCTGGGTCTTTTCTTCTTCTTAGCTGCAGGGAAGATTTGAACTGCCAATCTTTGGGTTGGCAACCAAGTGTTTTGTGTCACCAGAGCTCTAAGGTCATTTGGACATGTTGTCTCCTAACTGGTCAAATTACTGGCAGCGTGGCCAGCCCTGGCAGCTGCCACCACACTGTGTGGTCACTCGGCAGCCCCCCAGCTCTTTACAGCTGACTTTCTCCTGCTGCCTCGCATCTGCCTCATCCGCCCTTAGCTAGCATCTACTGAGTCCTTTCCACATGCCTGGCCCAGCATCAAGCCTTCTCTCACATCTCAGTGATTCAGTACGGGATGGAACGACCAGTCTTCCCATATTACAGTGACAGAAACTGAGGTTCTTAGAGGGCAGGGTCCCTGCCGGAGCCAATGCAGATGGGCTCCTAGCAGAACCTACATCCCCCTCCTCCTGGGGAGAAGTGGGGGTCAGCACGAGGCTGGAAGGATGGTGGTGGTATTTAACCACAGGGAGATGTGTGGTACAAATGGTTAACACACTCGATTGCTAACTCAAAGGTTGAAGGGTCAAATCCACCCAGAGGTGCTTCAGAGAAAGGCCTGGAGATGTATTTCTGGAAATCCAGTCACTGGATGTCCCATTGAACATTGTTCAGCCATGGTTGCCACGAACCAAAATTGACTCTATGGTAAATGTTGGGAACTGTCCAACTGGAACCAAACCATAGCAGACCCTCTAGTAGGTTTTCAGGTGCAGGAAGTCACATGGGAGGTTGCCCATCTTTGTCCTGCAGAACAGCTGGTGGATTCAAACTGTATACCTTTGTGTTGAGAGCACAATTCCTAAAGAGGGAATAACAGCCTATGAGGGGAAAAAAATCAGAAGGTGGGAAACTGTACAAGGAGGAGTTCAAGCTCTTTCTGTAGTTCAAGAAGGAGCTTTTGTGGCACAATGGTTAGGTGCTTGGCTACTAACAGAAAGGCTGGTGGTTCTAATCCATCCAGTGACCCCACAGGAGAAATGATCTGGTGGTCCGCTCTTATAGAGAGTAATAGCCAGAAACCCCCTAGGACAGTTCTGCTCCATTCTATGAGTCAGAACTCACACTCAACAGCACACAACAACATAGAGAAGCTCCACTGGACTGGTGTGGGGGCGGGGAGCAGGAGGCATGCTGATGAGGGTGCTGGGAGCAGAGAAGGCGAATTAAGACAACCAATCGCAGGTCCTGGGGATCCCCCAGAGGCCTGCCGGCAACCGGAGCGGCCTGTGGCTTTTCTGGCAGCCGAGTTGGCACTCAGAGTAAATTTCAGGGGATGCTAGATCACAGCGCCGAGGACACAGTGTTCGAGCTATTTGTGGCCCCATGAATTAATCTCTTCCATGTGTGGAGGCATTTCTACCATCCTCAGGAGACTCCTGTTGGTTGGGAAGGGGAACGCTTGGTCAGCTTGGACTCGTTTTCCTCAGGCTACGTGAGCCAAATCTGGCTACTCCTGCTGCCCAGAGTAATAGCCCAGTGGTCAGCGAAAAACTGACCTACATTATCAATCCAGGGATGATGGCAAAGAAGCACAGCCAGGAACCAGAGAGACGGAGCCCTGAGCAGCGTCACCCCAGTCCGTATCCCAAGCCTGAGGATGTGAGAAGGGTTTTAAAGCTGCAAAGAATCACGGCTCCTATCAGTCAGTGCTAAGATCCGCCCAGGTGCCTCTGTGGGGTAGACTGAATGGAACCTCAGTTAACACACACAACCACACTGAGAGGAGGTATCATCAATCCCATTTTACAGAGCAGAAAAGTGAGGCCCAGAGCGTTTAAGTAATGGGTCTGGGGTTAAGAACTGGTTAGTGGTTTGGAAGAGGCATGTGGATCCAGAGCCTGGGCTCTCCCACCACCAACTGATGACAATGACAGAGACGGGGCAGGATTGGACAACGTGTGTGGGGCTGCTGCGAGTCAACTCAGGAGCCACCACCACCAAGATCAATCAAACATGATACAAGAGCTGTTATCACTAGCTGTCTTTGATTTTAAGGTATTTTATTGTTCAAGATGTAACATAAACATATTTTAAAATGCAGATAAGAACACAGGCTTGACATTTAGAAGAAACCTCACCTCCAGCCTAGCTCCTCAGGAGCAACCACAGTCAACTCTTGAAGCAGCCCCTTCTGTGAAGTGAGCTCCACCCGCATGTCTACTTAATCCGCTGGCCATTTCTGATACATCAGTCGTAGCCTTGACTTTGCAATCGTTCCTCTGATCCTGTTTCAGCCAAATGAGAAGCATATTTTCCTAGAATCGTAGGGCTCTTAGCAATGGACTAGACTTGGCCTTCTTCTTGTTTGCTACTCTTCGACGTCTGCATCTCACCAACTGGTGCAGATTAACCCTCCGCCAGTCAGTAATCTTTGTTCTCTGTGTCACCGCAGATGGATGAAAACAGTCACAGAGTGACATCAGCACGCAGATGATGAACTTTGCTTGAGTCCAATTTCCTGTCTCAAAGCCAGACTCTAATCGTCATCCAGGCTCTGCTTGAATACTTCTGATGATGGTTTGCCTTCCACTGCACAGGGTGGCCTCCTGACAATATTTTGAAATTTCTTTTGCTTTTGTGTGCCATTGAGTGGGAACCAGTTCTCCGGCAGGTTTTCAGAGGCAGTAAACTGCACAGGAGACTGCCCAGCCAATCTCCAATGGAGCAGCTGGTGGATTCGAACAGTGTGCCTTTGGGATTGCAGTACAGTTTCTTACCACCAAGCCGCTGAAGCTCCCTCCTGATGGCATTAGATGGTCTAACTTGTGTGGGATTCGAAATCTTTCAGCCTTTATCATATGGCTCCTGTACATCTCTGAGAACTTCAATTTCTTCAAAAAGCGTGCCTTTTCTCCACCCTGACCTCAATCATAACCTGCCTCACACTCTTCAGTGTCACCGAAGGTGACAATCTCAATGTACTCTGCAGGCTTCACAGCCTGATTTGCCGTTTCCTTCCCTGCTTCAAATATGGTTCTACAAAACAACTGTGTCTAAGGAGTCTGACTGTGATTAGTTACCTGACTGCTAACCGACAGATCTGTGGTTCAAACCCACTCACTGACTCCTCAAGACCAAAACCCTGGTAATGTGTCCCATAAAGATTTCAGCCAAGAAAACGTCATGGTGCAGTTCTACTCTGTCACATGGGGTCACAGTAGTCCAGCTGACTCAAAAGCACCTCACAATGACGCCATGAGCTCTCTGTCCCCATGAGTGCTGGTCCTGCCCACCCTTCCCCCTTTCAGCTCAGAGGGAAAACTTTAAGTGACTTTTTCCCCTCCACAACTTATTTGTGATGGCAAAGCACATCTCCAGGCCTCTCCCACCCCACAGTTCCCTGAGCCCGCTCCAAACCCTCAGGAACAATGCTCCTATTTTGCTGTTTTCTCGCAAGTCTCCCTCCTTCTGATAGTCAGTCATTGCTAAAAGTAGCTGTTGGCAGAAGGATGTGCATTTAGAGTGGGCTGGGTGGGGGCCGAAGCCAGGACACAATGTGCTCTTGTTGGAGGGAAGAATTTGCTGGTAGTTCAGAAGTAGAGCCCCCTCCCACCCCTCCACCTGTGACATCAGCACAGCACGGCTCCCGGGCCACACAACCTTCCAGAATCTGTTCCATAAAGCAGTCCTTGAAAGTCTGCCTTCCATGTCCATATCCTAGTACAGAAGAGGGGAACACAGAGACCTCCAGGCCCCAAGATAAGATGTAACAGCCACTGTGACATCACCACCCCAAACAGCAAGCAGTGGGGATTTCAGCACCAAGGAGTGCCAGAAAACACAAAAGACACAGCTCTTCTCCCAGTGGTGGTCCCCAAAGACACAGAGTCCCAGGGGGGCCTTAGAGACTGGCATTGGTAATCCAGAGCCAGAGACCAACAACAGTCCAGGCTCTGGGAT